AAAAATGTTTTAGAGATTCTTTTACTTGAGATTACAGCATCTGATTTTAGCTGATAAAGCTTTAAATTCCATTCTACTCCATGCTTGAAATTTGAAGGTTCTGAAAGGAATGCAGATGATTTACTTCTAACTTGCTGTGTTAGCTGGAGTAAATTATTTAACTGATTTGTGCTTTTTTTTTTTTGGAGGAGAGGTTACATTAGTCTGCCTCTTGAGTGTTTCTGGGACACTTAAGTGTAAAAACCATCCTGCAGTACATTATCAAAAGTAACTCATGGCAGAATCTGTTTTTCTCTGCCTTGATAGCAGTGGATTGTGGAGTTTTAATTACTAATGTACTTTCCATGAGTCCCAGTGATGATAAGATGCACCATCAAAGTAACAGAGTAACAGTAGGGAGAGCAGAAGTATGTATCAATTGTAGTATACGTTTTAATTTCAGCAACATTAAAATGTAAACATATATACATATTAAAATTGAGGAAATGTGGTGATGCCTAATTCCCAGAGATGTTCTGAAAATTAAATAAGGTTCTCATTCCACACTGTTACGTGGTACAATGCAAATATTATTACTTGCCTCACCCACCCCACAGTCCAGCCTTTAATAATATACTAGTGACTTGGGAAAAAAATGGATACGTCATTCAATTTGGGGATCAAATTTTTCATGAGAGTCATTTTTTAAAGGGGGGATATGTTATTCTTTTCTTTTTTTTTTAAACAGGGTTTCACTCTGTCACCCAGGCTGGAGTGCAGTAGCACAATCTTGGCTCACTGCAACCTCTGCCCCCTGGGATTCAAGCAATTATTGTGCCTCAGCCTCCCAAGTAGCTGGGAACATGTGCCACCATACCTGGCTAATTTTTCTATTTTTAGTAGAGACAGGATTTCACCTTGTTGGCCAAGCTGGTCTTGAGCTCCTGACCTCAAGTGATCCACCCCTGCCTCAGCCTTCCAAAGTGCTGGGATTACAGGCATGAGCCACCACATCTGGCCAAGGGATAATGTCATTATCAACAATAGCTAATACATAAAGACTGTAGAACCAGAAGGAATCCTTTTTTTTTTTTTTTTTTTAGACAGAGTCTTGCTCTGTTGCCCAGGCTGGAGTGCAGTGGCACCATCTCAGCTCACTGCAACCTCTGCCTCCCAGGTTCAAGCAGTTCTCCTACCTCAACCTCCCGAGTAGCTGGTCAGTAGCTCGAACTCCTGACCTTGTGATACAGCCTCCTCGGCCTCCCAAAATGCTGGGATTACAGGTGTGAGCCACCGTCAGTAGCTCGAACTCCTGACCTTGTGATACAGCCTCCTCGGCCTCCCAAAATGCTGGGATTACAGGTGTGAGCCACCGTGCCTGGCCCCAGAAGGAAATTTAAAGTTCAATGAATTTTATCCCCAAAGTTTATAATAGGGAGAGACAGGTTCAGAGAAATAAAATGACTTCTCTATATGCATATAGTTCATGGCACAGTTGAGACAGAAAGAGGACTTTTTATGGATAACATTGACTATTGTAAGTAATTGTGATTAGATACAGTGAAGCATTGAAACTAGCTTTGTAACTTCAGTTCAAACAAAGGAGTGATAGGATGCTAATCCCCCACATGCACAATGTTTTAGCAAAAGTACAGTGCAAGGATAAGCTGATTTATGTTGTAGAATTAAGGCAGTAGGAATTGAGAGTGTGAAAGCTGTCAGAATCAAAATGGAGTCACTAATGTTAAAACAAAACAAAACAAAACAAAACAAAACTCTGACAAATAGAGCCATGAAGGGAGAATTTTCATGCATAAATGCCTCGTAACAAAAACGACCACAAAAGACTCCAAAACCCACAGCCTTGCACAGAGGCCATCACAACCCTACACCAAAAACTACTTCTATCAGGACATCTGCCCAGCAACTGCCTGTCCAGCCTTGAACTAGCATCACCCTTGTTATTGATATGTGTAGCCAAGAGTAATTATTTCAAAACAATTATGCAATCTTCTTCATTTTTTCCCTTAAAAACCTCTGTCTTCTGTTACCTCCCTGAATACACACAGAATTTACTATGGCAAGCATCTTTCCATTGCGGTACCTTTTTCTCAAATAAACCTCTCTTCTTTTAGAGAGCCTGTGTCTTTGTTATTTAGGTGACAAGAGTGCACGAGAAATGCATAGGTGTAGAATTCTGATGTACTAGATCACCTCCTACCCGTAGAAAACAAAGCTACACTCAGCCTGAGTGGAGGAGTGCTTGAACTTTAAGTCCTTCTGTACAGGAAAGCAGTTACACACCCCTCCAGGAGGCCACCCCTACCCCCGAGCAGTTTGTTTTGGTCCAAAAATGACAAAGCAGACTGGACCTCAGCCCTGTGACTACTGGTCTGGGGCAGACCTGTTCACAGTAGAACCATAAGAGGGTGTGACTTCCCTTGTGGTCACCAGGAGGCTGGGCTGAGCCGGCGTAAATGATGGCACTTGCTAGGGTCACAGAATACATCTTTAAGTGCATTCAATTACAGACCTACCCATACACTGCATTTCTGACATGACCCTGTAGATTCCACAGCCCATTTCTGGAAGGCTTATCTGAGAGTTGCAGGCAGGATCCAGCTCATTGTGGCTTTATCTACGCAAGGCAGATGAGGACAGGTTGTTACCATCTCCCATCTGTGGCTACTGATGCCTGGTAAAATGGTTGTTCCAAGCCCCCCAGCTGAGGGGAAGTAGAGTCAGGTCTCTTAATGCTGTGCGATGCTCTATCTGGCCTTAGCTTGGCCTGCTCTTCAACTTTGACACAAAATGGAAGCAAGCTGCAAAGCCGGACGGAAAGTTCATACGATTTTTTTTTTTTTTTTTTTTTTGGAGGAGAGGTTACATTAGTCTCGCTCTGTCGCCCAGGCTGGAGTGCAGTGGCGCGATCTCAGCTCACTGCAAGCTCCGCCTCCCGGGTTCCCTCCATTCTCCTGGCTCAGCCTCCCGAGTAGCTGGGACTATAGACGCCCACAACCGCGCCCGGCTAGTTTTTTGTGTTTTTAGTAGAGACGGGGTTTCACCGTGGTCTCGATATCCTGACCTTGTGATCCGCCCGCCTCGGCCTCCCAAAGTGCTGGGATTACAGGCGTGAGCCACCGCGCCCGGCCGTTCATACGATTTTAAAAGACAGCCTGGCGTGGTGGCACAGGCCTGTAGTCCCAGCTACTTGGGAGGCTGAGGTAGGAGGATCGCTTGAGCCCAGGAGTTCGAGGTTGTAGTGACCTATGATCGTGCCACCGCACTCCAGCCTGGGCGACCCAGCGAGACCCAACCGCCGCCCCCACAACAAAAACAGAAAGTGGGAAACGCCGTCTGTATTTACAACTAGCTCGTTTAGTTCCCAGACATGAGTATTATGACAATATTCAATTGGCAGTTCAGGATCCGAGGGAAGGAAAGCCTAAGCGAGCTGCTGAGCGGGGCCAGTGGTCCCGGGGCGTCCTGACTTCCAAGGTTCTGGGCCTTCGTGCTGCCACCAGGAGCTCGTCGCCACGCCCTGCCCCAGTGGTCCCCCTGCAGGGGTTCCTGCCCCCCAGGCACCGAGCCCCAAGCCTCGGCGCAGGCTGCAGCTTCCCTCTGCCTGACCCCCGCCAGCCTGCGCCTCCTCACCCGGGAACTAGTAGAAGCCTGGGCCCGCGCCTGGCGCTGCAACTCCAGTCTTTAGTCTTTGTTCGGAGCACGGGAGAGGCATGGAGAACCTTGGAACCGGGGGAGGCATGACTTCAATATTCGTATCGTTGTTAAATAAACGATTTTCTAATTTGTATCTGTTTCATGCCAGCGTGAAACTTCTGTAGGCAGAGCTGGCTGCGCTGCCAGCCCTTCCTTCTGCTTGTCCCCACCCACCTCTGCCTCTCCCACCCAGCCTTCCCTCGGCAGCAGCGGGGAAGAACAGCCGAGCAGACCCAACAGCCGGGGCAGCGAGTGGGAGGCTGTTCCCGCAGCTCGTGGCTGGCATTGGAGAATGTGGAGATTTTCCCATTCATAAAAGGAACGTCCCCGCTCGCCGCCTTGCCGCTCGCGGTCTTGCTGTCCGCCGCACACCGCCACATCCGCAGCGGGGTAGGGCTGGGTCTGGGGGCGTTCGGTTCCCAGGGCCTTACCCGGGCGTACTCTCGCCTTTCTCAGGAAGCCCCATTTTGTGAGCGGCACCGCGTGTCCTCGCTCAGTCCGTGCACACCGTTGACCTGGAACGCGGATGAGCACCCTTGGTTGAAACGAAGAGACAAAATGGCTTGTGGTTCAATTCATAAATAAAACCTCACCCTTGGACTTCAGGCTGCCCGACATTTTGTGACTTGCATTTTTTTGCTTTATCATAGTTTAGGAAGCGACTGTCAGGCCACGTTGCCTATCCATTTCTAAACGACTGTCTTTTTAGGACCCCGTTTTCACCCTTGTATGGCAGTGGGTTGGGGGTGGGGGATGGAACTGGAGTGGCCCAGGGAGATGATGGCAGGGGCGGGGCGGGGCAGGGCGTTGTACTGATTCAAGATGCAATATCCATCCAAATAATGGATTGTTATTAACAATGATCCTCTCTGCAAAACCCTTAAAATTGCCCCTTGATTCCCTAGCAGCAAGAGGCGAGCCCTTATTCGCTGAGCTGAAGCCTCCTCCCCCTCCTCCCCATTACTCTCTGCTCTGGAAATTACAACTCGGCGCGCCGCGCTGGGAGGCGGCAGCGGCTGGAGGGAGGCGGGGAGGGGATTCCCGAGCCAGCTGGGCGCTCGCCCTCCGCCCGCTGGCTGCAGCGTCTCGCGGCCAAGGTCAGAGGCTCCGCAGGAGCAGCAGCTGGGAACCAGGGAAGCGGGTCAATCCCGGCTGCAGGGAGGAAGCCCCAGGGCGCAGTCAGCCGGTGTCCGCAGCCGCCGAGGAGGAGGGTGAGCGGCTGTCTCCCGGCCGGTCGGGTCCCACCGAGGTGGCCCCGGCCCCAGCGACCTGGTGGGTGGCGGCCCAGGGGTCCGCGAGCCGGCAGCTGGAGCCCCACCTTCGGCTCCCGGGCGCTGTCCACCGCCTCGTGGTGCTGATCCCAGCCCCGCAGCTGAACGGCCTTCGCACCTGCCTGCTCACCTCCTGATCACCACGATAAGGAGCTGGGCGGGGGCAGAAGGGGGTCCTCGGGGTAGCCGCCCACCGGAGCCAGGGGCTGAAGCAGTGAACGCACAGCAGCCCGGCCGCTGGTCCTGGGGTGGAGAGGAGGCGCGCGCTGCAGCCGGCGGCGGCGCTGGTGCTGATTCATCACCTAAAGCTCCTCGCAGGCCACCGCGAGGGCAGCCGACCCGCTTCGGACTCTGGCCGCAGGTTGAAGCCGCCGGTGCGGTAGCCTCGCGGGCAGGAGGTGAGGACCCCCTCCCTTCTCTCGCCCCCCTATCATCTTAGGGCGGTGGCTACAGGACAGAGAGAGGGGCGTGCCCCTCGGCTGTGAAGTGGGCATGCCCGTGTGATGCCCCCGCCCGCCGTCTCACCGGGGCGCACCACGCTGGTCCTCCTCCGCCAGTCTCCCGAGCTCCGGCCATTCATCCCCAGCGCAGAGCAGCGCGGGCAGCCGGTGCCGCGATGGAGGAAGAGCTGAAGTGTCCCGTGTGCGGCTCTCTGTTTCGGGAGCCTATCATCCTGCCCTGTTCCCACAATGTCTGCCTGCCTTGCGCTCGCACCATCGCGGTGCAGACCCCGGATGGCGAGCAGCACCTGCCCCAGCCGCTCCTGCTTTCCCGGGGCTCGGGGCTGCCGGCGGGCGCCGCTGCTACTCCCTCTCTGGAGCACGACACGGCGGCGGGCCCGGCCTGCAGCGGTGCGGGCGGGAGTGCAGCTGGCGGCCTCGGCGGCGGTGCGGGAGGTGGTGGAGACCACGCGGACAAGCTGAGCTTGTACAGCGAGACAGACAGCGGCTATGGGTCCTACACCCCGAGCCTCAAGTCCCCCAACGGGGTTCGCGTGCTGCCCATGGTGCCCGCACCACCCGGCTCCTCCGCCGCCGCGGCTCGGGGTGCCGCCTGCTCCTCGCTGTCCTCGTCTTCGAGCTCCATCACGTGCCCGCAGTGCCACCGCAGTGCCTCCCTGGACCACCGCGGCCTGCGCGGCTTCCAGCGAAACCGGCTGCTCGAGGCCATCGTGCAGCGGTACCAGCAGGGCCGCGGGGCCGTGCCGGGGGCGTCTGCAGCCGCGGCGGTGGCCATCTGCCAGCTGTGCGACCGCACCCCGCCAGAGCCAGCAGCCACGCTCTGCGAGCAGTGCGACGTCCTTTACTGCGCTGCCTGCCAGCTCAAGTGCCATCCATCCCGGGGACCCTTCGCCAAGCATCGCCTGGTGCAGCCGCCGCCACCGCCGGCGCCCGCCGAGGCAGCCTCTGGGCCCACTGGCGCCGCCCAGGGCGCCCCCAGCGGAGGCAGCGGCTGCAAGAGCCCGGGAGGCGCGGGGGCCGGGGCGACTGGGGGCAGCACGGCCCGCAAGTTCCCCACGTGTCCCGAGCATGAAATGGAGAACTACAGCATGTACTGCGTGAGCTGTCGAACCCCAGTGTGCTATCTGTGCCTAGAGGAGGGCCGGCATGCCAAGCACGAGGTGAAGCCGCTGGGGGCCATGTGGAAGCAGCACAAGGTGAGCCCCCGGGACGCGGGAGTGCAGGTGCCAGGGAAGAGGGTATGAGGAGAAAGGCTCTTGGCCTCTCCCTTGGAGAACTGGCAGAAAGTTGGTCAGAGGGTCAAGCAGGAATTACCTCACTTATTAGCCATTCATTCCATCAGATAGTCATTTGACAAACATGTAAGAAACTCCAGGTACTCTGGACTGGATACTGGAGATGGGAAAGGTATGGAAAGATGACTTATTAGGTCCCCACCCACCTGAAGTTTTAGGATTTATGTAGGCACAGGGCACCCAAAATGCAGAAACAGGGCTCTTTTACTCCCAAAGTCTGACTAATAAGTTACCTTGATGGTCCCTTTTAAGTTAAAGCATGCAGGATCTCCTTTTCCCCTCTGCCACTCTCAGCAACTTATGGCTGGCAATGTGTCCTTGTATCTGATACTGCGAGAAAGAGACACGCCATCAAAATCTGGTCAGGTCCTTGATCAGACCCCAAGTCAAGACTAGAGTTGGTTTTTCTAACATTCACCTAAATTTCCCATCCAAAGGCCAAAGATGAGCAACTGGACTCTCTTCCCGAGAGGTCAATGAACTAGGCCTGGCAGAGTTAGCATCTTGTGGAAAGGACCCCTAACTGCCTCTGGAACTTCAGACACCAATTATTCCGTGTGCTCTTACCAGTAAACTCTCACTACAGAGGCAAGAGGTCTCCAAACAGCCTGGCCAGAAGTAAATATTTGAACTGAGGAGGAAAGTAAAGTAATTGGCCAAGGCTATCCAACTGGAAATAAGCAAAAAGTGAGCACAGATGAACGGAAGAGACTAAGAAACTAACCATTCCTATATAGATTTGCTGTTCATATATCATTACTCTATAGTATTATCTGCTATAATAAGCATATGTTGTTATTATAATTTAACATTTTAGAATTAAAAATTAGAAAAAACAAATGTGAAACACTTTAGGAATCCACCTTTAAGAGGAGAATTTGCATAATACATAGGAAAAAAAGATAAATATGTAGTCAAATCCCTAGTTCTAGAGCAGTAGCTCTCAACTGGGTCCAATTTTCACTCCTTACCCCAACCCCTCCCCAACATTTGGCAATGTCTGGGGACACTTTTAGTTGTCACACCTAGAGGGTTCCACTGAAATCTAGTGGATAGAGGCCAGGGAAGCTGATAAATATTCTACAGTGCACAGGAAAACTCCCCAAAACAATTATCCAGCCCCAAATGTCAACAGTGCTCTGGAGAGAAATCCTGCTCTATGGTTACACAGACCTGTATCCAAATCTTAGGACTTGCAATTTACTACCTGTCTGAGTCTAGGCACAATTTAAAACCCATTGGAAAAAAATATCAAACTTAGACAATTGTGGTAAGGATTAAGTATAATACTGTATGTTGAGCCCCTAGCACAGCACCTTAAATATAATTGATAAATAACATTAAATGTTACTGCTGATTTGTATAGTCGTAATACTTAAAACCAGTGAATTTGCAGAAAGCTACAGGGCAGTAGCAAAGAGTGCTCATTTGGCCTCATTGACTTGGTTAGCTAGAGAAAACATGAGCTGGCAACTTTTGGTAGTGTTTATGCTGAGTCCTAAAATAGCTTTGAGCTGAATCAGAATGGTTGCCTTGAATTAGTTATCATTCATATGACATTTTGTTGCATATTGCTTCACAGTAATTGCAGCTATCTTGCTTATTTCATCTTTTAAGTGAATAAACATCACTTTACAAATGCATAAATTACTTGCAAATAGGGCTGTGACCAATTACCAAGACAAGAAGTACAGATTCCATATCTCACATTCAGATTTCACAAACTGCTAAATCTTCATCACTTAGAGAGCCAAAACTAATTCTGAGTGTTGCCACTCAGATGTTCAGAATTAGTGAAGAGTGGAAACCAAAGAGAGTCGAGGTGAGAATTTGCAATTATAAGAGAAATTAAGTGTCTTTCATGGAAAAGTGAGTTGGATAATGAGCTACAGTTTAAAGAACTAAGGTTGTACAGGAAAAATTATTGGTCATCCCTTGCTTGGTGTCAACAACAGTTTTATAAAATTTCCATCCTCAGCCAGCAATGCAAAGTTATGAGGAAATCTGGGAAGCACATGTGATATCTGCCCCCTACAGTGGGCAGTGTAAACTATGGGAATATGACCATGCAGGATCTCAATTTTATGACATCTTCCTAAATCCAGAAGAAACACTACGAGATGCTTTTGTGAACACCTGTTTTCAAGAATGAGTAGAAGTGCTGCTGTTCTTCTTCAGCAAATACTATTGATTTCTACAGAAAGGAAAATTACTAAGTGCTTATTATGAGCATTTCACCTGGGGGCTGGCAATTAAAAGAAATGATAAATGGGAGAGCCTTGGTCAAACACTGGTGGTCTTGCTTTGTGGCTGGACATCTAGACCAGCATGTATGCTGCGAGGGTGGCTACTTTTGAAAGACAAACTAGAACACTTCATTAAGACTCCCACTGTTGGCAATTTAAGTTTTACAGTAAAACATAAAGTCTCTGGATTTTGTTGTTGTTGTTGTTATCTAAAAAGCTCAGAATCTTGACAAAGCCTCATTGCATCACTAGAACTAGAATTGGGACAGCAACATTTCTCTAATATTCCTGTGATTAAAGAAGCCATCATCAAAGCCTTGCTTTAATTTTTCTCTGGCATTACTGCAGCTTGCCTTCTGATTAGTGATTCTTAAGTAAAGACATATATACGTGACACTTAAATCTGTTTTAAAACAAGATTGATAATCACCTTTTAAAAGCAGTGTAAAAAACTTTAGGTCTTGGCTAAACACATTTCTATATGAATTTCTTGGGAAAGGATTAACTGTTTCAAAGAGCCTCTGATGTGAAGATGGGATAGGGAAGGGTAACTGTACAGGAGAGCTTTTGGTTTTTTGCTTCTTGATTATGAAAATCTGTTTTTCCTGAAACTGGAGGAAAGGGTTACTGTGTACCATAGCTCTTTCCTAGTGTGACATGCCACAGAATGTCAACATCTATAACTCCTAACTCAGGGAGAACTCTGACCAGCTGGGTACAGATGACCAGCTCTGAATTAAACTGGGTAGGAGTTGATTCCTAAGTAGGGGTTAGAGAATAATTCTTTTTCTTATAGATAAGCTCTTCTTCTGGAGTTCTTTGAGAACTATGGTAAATAGAAAGAGCCTTAAAAGAAAATCTCACTGATACTCCAGGAGTACTATTCCCACTGAGTCAGCACCTCACAAAAGCAAGGGTGAGGGTGTGGCCTGGAAAACTCAAGAAAGACAGGACTTTTTATCACTCGAATGTCTTTTTTTTTTTTTTAAGAGATGGGGTCTTACTACATTGCCCAGGCTGGTCTCCAACTCCTAGCCTTAAGTGATCTTCCTGCCTTGCCTTCCCAAAATGCTAGAATTACAGGTGTGGACCACTGCACCCAGCCAACTCCCACATCTTAAAGCTCTGCCAAAAGGCAGGTGGCTTCTCAGCCTTACCTTATTTTGTAAAAAGGGTATGTTAAGCTTTAAAGGCTGAGAGGAAGCACCTCTGCTATTAAAAGGGATAGCACATACATGACAAAGAACATGTAGTTATAGTTGCACTATGATCACAGGTAAAAATATTTTAATATTTGTAATTCTTTTTTTTTTTAGTTTTATTTTGAGACAGAGTCTCTCTCTGTTGCCCAGACTGGAGTGCAGTGCTGTGATCACAGCTCACTGTAGCCTCAACTTCCTGGGCTCAAGGGATCCTCCCACCTCACCCTCCCAAGTGGCTGGGACTACAGGCACACCCCACCACCATGCCTGGCTAATTTTAAAATTTTTTGTAGAAACGAGGTCTTGCTCTGTTGGCCAGGCTAGTCTCAATCAAACTCCTGGTCTGAAGCGATCCTCCCACCTTGGCCTCCCAAAAGCCTGGGATCACACCTGTAGGCGAGAGTGACTGCACCTGACCAATGTACATCATTTCTGACGGCTGCCTGCCATTTCATCACAGGCATTTATATTTTATTTCATCAACACCTTAGTACTGAACTTTGGGTTGTTTTCTTTCTTTTGCTGTTACAAACATTTTGTTTGTTAAATCTATGCCTACACTCTTAATTATTTCCTCAGGTTACATTTCTAGATATGGAATTGCTATGTCAAAGGATACCTGACTTTAAGATATCTAATGTTTCCAAATTACAAAGGTAATTTGTAGATTACCTTTGTAGATGACACCTACTTAATAACAAAATTATGTAAATAATTAAAAATTCACGTCAATAGGGACCACAGGGAGAAATGATAAGGTGGATTTGTCTTCTCTCTCATAATTATTATTTGCTATTTGCATTACATTATTGTTAGAACTATTTTTAAAAAGAAGATGACATGTTATTTTCATATTTTTAACTACTACTAGTTAGGGATCTTCCCTCAACAATTGATTTAACATGTACAGATATTCTTCACTATAACCTCTTGAATTTTAAGGTCCGTGAAAAGGCAAGGCCTTGGGGGCCCACCTAAGGCATTTTCAGGTGGGGTTGGGTGGGCCAAAAGAGTTAGGTAGGGAGAAGTGTTCGGTAAAACCCTTCCGGGGGGCCTGAAGTCTACAACTCTACGGCTGATGACTGTACACTTGCTGCCAACTTTAAGCAGAGTGTTTGGAGTCCAAACTGAAGAGAGTCCGCCAGGGCTCTCAGAGCATGTGGCATGGAAATATGCTCATTCTCATTCTGAATGGAAGTCCTAGATTTTTTTTTTTTTTAAATTTTTATTTGTTGAGACAAAGTCTTGCTCTGTTACCCAGGGTGGAGTGCAATGACACTATCTCAGCTCACTGCAACCTCCGCCTCCTGGGTTCGAGCAATTCTGCCTCAGCCTCCCGGGTAGCTGCAATTACAGACATGCGCCACCACACCCAGCTAATTTTTTGTATTTTACAAATTTTGACAGGGTTTCGCCATGTTGGCCAGGCTGGTCTTGAACCCCTGACCTCAAG